AACGTTAAACCCCTTTACTATTCAATTAAACACATTCAATGTTTATTTATTGTAAAAGCAATTGGGCTTTTTTTTCACACACACACACACCCCACACACACAAATACGCACACACGCACACACGCACACACACACACTTCTCCGCCTCATTCCGTTTTCATTTACTCGTTCGTTATCTGACCAGCTTCAATCTTGTAGGCTACTCACTTCGTTTCTTGTAGCCCTCGAAAGGGTTTTGGAGGTTGATGCCTCGGTGAACGTGAGTTGTTTGGCTTTCTTGTCCGCAGCAGCAGAAAGCATTTTCGAATGTTTGAATGAATCAAAGTGGGTCATCCCCGTCGATTTTCTCTTATGCTCCAACACACAGTTGCACGGGGTGCAGAATAGTTTCCCCCAACTTTTTGCCCGGTCTTAAGTAGAAATGTTCGTCGGTAAATGAGATGGATTAGATTTTTTCATCTTGGTGTTTTCTCTATCGTGTGAGCTCCACACGTTCACTCTACAGTGTTGTTTACATTCTGTGATGCGCGAGCTGATGACGTCACGTCAAGACGAGTCAACTTTTTTTTTTCTCAACTTTATGTGGAAAAATGCAGGGATTATGCGGCCTTTTGATAAATATGCGGCCTTTTAAAAATCTGCGTCATTTTGCTGATTATGCGGTAAATTCTGCGATCGCAGAATCGCGTTTTTCTGGAGGGTCTAGTATGTGGCCAGTACAGTAAGTGGAAATGATGAAATTAGATGATGAAAGTAGACAGAATAAGGTCTTATTTGGAGCCAAGGATATTTCTTTATAGCAGTTTCCCAATAATGTGGCCTGGGGCTTTTGCCTTGGTCCTCTCTCTATCAAACCCAGTATCACTTATAATACCAATCATACATGTTCTCTTATTTCTTCACCTTCCTTATCCCCTTATCTGCAGGTTTCGTGACCCCTCACCTTAAAGCCATTCATGGAGTCAATGCCTCTATTCAACCCCCTCTGCTCCTCAACCCATATTACATGAGAGAGGGAGAGATCAACTGAAAAGAGAGGCTTAAAAACAGTATGAGAGGGGAAAAATAAAAATAATCTGGAGTCTTCATACATTTTTCATGAATTTTCATTTAGACTGGGAGAGCCCTCTTACAGCAATCGATAGATCAAGCTGCTGTCACGCAGTTAGCACCTGGGGGCAGCTGGGAGGCCCTCAGGAGGGCAGGGGACTGAATCCGAGGCAGAGACCAGCCCCCCCTTCAACACACGAAGTCCATTTCCCAAGGATAACACACCTAAATCCCATTTACTTCCACTGATCATTGTAATCACCTTATCAATTATTTTACAGGTTGTCCTAAAAACATAGACAATTTCTGCAGTTTTTTTGTATGTTCACAACAATCAAGAAAAATCTTCTCAACAAAAAGGCTTCTTGGCTAGCATTTTACTCTAATAATGACTCCACAATGCCTGAAGCTCATACCTACTGCAAAATGATACGTGAAGCATCCAACAACACATTTTGTAGTGGGATTATCTCATGGACCTAGTCCCTGTTTGAGACACAGCACGCCCCTGGTAAAACAACAAAACGACATAAGGACACAAAGACTTTACGCTCCACCTTATGGGCAGTTGAGGTGCCTAGGAACCGCTCCATAGGAAGCCCAGCCTGAAGCCTGTGGGGGGGGGGGCTCATCTTCAAAGGTAATTTGATCCACAGCTCAGGTTCTGCCTGTCAATGTTCACCAACACAGTCCAGGCAGCTTGTGTCAAATGTCCCACAGGACTTTGATCTGTGCCTGCCGTTCTACCCCCACTCACCTGTGGGAGACCCATATCTACCATACCATCATGTCTCTCTCATATAGTCTGAGTGTCTGCAGACCACTTCAATAAAACTCCCTTGAAGTAAAAAAAGGATCATATTTAATTCAAGTGCTTGCTGGAGAAATACTCTGTACAACAAATTATTCCACCAAACTCAACGTGAGAACACCTCTGAGCTTAACTGTCCCTTTAAGATCTACAGGAAATGAGTGCAGTGTTTTTATGATAATAGAGAACACAGAAAGCAAGATGAAGTCAACGCTTATAAAAAGGGTCATTTCAGTTTCCTCAAATAAATTACTGATTTGTTTACTGTTATTCCCTTCAGTAGGGACGGCACTTTCCATTATGGATAAATGGAAGAAAGGGATAATAGATACTGCTGACAGGAAATGTAAAAATTGTACCCCTTAATTCTTTCTTGTGCTACATTTAAATCCAGTCTTTCCATCATCGGGAAGCAGATGATTTTTGAGTTAAATTAAATACGCAAACAAATTTGAATAAATGCCACAAAGAAATGAAGAAGAACCAGGAGAGTGACTCACATGCTACTTCCAAAGAGGCGTTGCGGCTGACGGCTTCTCCCAGGTAGTTCCGGGCCACACAGACGTAGGCTCCTTCATCCGGCTTGCTCCGTCGTCCGTGGACGATGCGCAGGAAGAAGAGGGAGCCACTGGGCAGCAGCATGCGGTGGGAACGTGGGTCGTCTTTGTCTGTTTCCACCCGCTCTGCATCCTTGTACCACTCCACTGTCGGGGTTGGCCGTCCCTCAGCTTTACAGTTGAGGGTGGCGGGCTCCCCCTTGGAGACGATCAGGTCAGAGGGGTGCTCCACAATCCGGGGTGGGGAATCCTCCTGGCGCAGACGGGATCCTGGGGGAGAAAGGAGAGATACAATTAGTCATAGAGTATTAGCGTGAAGAATTTAAGCCTAATTTTTCCGATTTTAAATCAGAAGACTCTTCCATTAACATATTAGCTACCAGACCACTGTTTGGAAAATAGGGAAAAGATAAGGGTTACATTATTAAAAAACAACTCAAAGTAGCAGATTACATATCCTTCCTAGCTAAGCCTCAGGATAATACAGAATGAGCTACAGGATGTTGCAGTTGCACAGGTGCATTGTTCATTTAAAAAAAAAATGAAATTTGTAATAAAATGATAATATTATAACTGCCTAGATGTGAATATTTGTAAACAAAACTATGAATACATTAATAAAACATTTCACTAAATAAAACAACTGATTTGTAACTGAACAATGATCTGCATGCATTACAGAGCGCAGCTGCCTAAGAGGTTTTCTTTTGAAAACTGTATTTATTCAAGTACTTGACCGCAACTACCAACAATATCCTGTGTTTCTTACTAGCTGTATTCTAAATAACTTTAATTAACAAACTAACATTATTTTTTTTTTTAATCAGTGCCATCGCTATGCAGAACTGGACAAACAGTGGTGTGCCGAAATGGATTCATCACTCCAACTAAACCAAAAGCTTTATTGGTTTAAAAGCATTTTAAAGAAACATATATTGGACCCTTTAATAATCACTGTTTCAGCCATCTGCTCTTTTCACCCCTATATGCTGAGGCTTGTTGGTAATTGGACCCACGGGTGAACAGTGAGTGTAGACAGTCATCTTACATCTAAACTAATACACATACAAATCATATGTTTGGTTTTCAGCAAACAAGTCCACTGTTGTAGAAGTGTACATGTGACGTGAATATGAATGTCAGGGTTTAGACTAATGTCAAATGCTAATCCCCTCTGGCTGAAAACCTTTGCCCACTCCCTTTTATTAGGGCTTGCAGTGGGTGAGCTTTGGGGTCTGGCAGCTGAGATAATGGTCCCCATGTCAGAGTTCTCTGTGTGTCTGTGACCCAGCTCTTAAACATGGAGATAAGAAGCTGTAGGCCACACAAACACACACACACACACACACACACACACACACACACACACACACACACACACACACACACACACACACACACACACACAGCACAGCACTCTCATAACTCAAACACACATCACAACCCGAACGTTTCAACATTCGCTGAAATATTACTTTCTTATTTAGCAAGTTTTAAAGATTCAGTTCCAGCATGACAAAGAATCCATAGATCTATTAGATATCTCTGCTTCCCTCTCTACTTTCTCAGTTTAATACACACAACCCAGTAGCACATTATGCTGAAAAAGTGACAAACCTCTCACTTTGATGCATTGTCCAACAATGTAAATCATTTCACACCAGAAAAGGTTATATTGGAAACTGAGTAATGCTTAAAGTCGGTGGCAGGCTGAACACATAAAGTCCCAAAGAGTTGGCAGAGTCTCAGCAGCTTCCACTCATTTAGGAAGGTTGACTCTTTGGCTTTAATTTGATAAACAAAAATAACTTTTAAGACGTTTTGAGAGACACAACACAGCATATCTTTGTTGGTTTAGCCCCATGTTTTACAGTCTAACATGTAAAGGTAGTCACTGTGACACATTTAATTCTGTTGTCTGTGCTACTCCCTAGGAGTGACTGGGGGACACATCTGGAGGACACAACACCTGAGCTGGATGTGGAGAGGCTTCTTTCAGCAGGATATAAACTATGTATGTAATGCATCGCCCTGTCTTTCTCTGTGTTTACTGAAAGGTACAGGAAGTCAGATAGGGGCACCCTATCAAATGTTCCAAAACTGGGGATTACTGTTTAGGAATTCTTGCTTTTCACATCGAGCTCAGCTCTGTCATTTCACATTCTGCTCTCCCGCCTTCTGTCTAAGCTATCAGTGTATGATTGTGTTTTCACATTCAAGTGATCCTGCAGGAACTATGAGGCAATTATATAGGAAACAGTGGAGCAAATATCCATGTTCACAAACTCATCAAATTGGGATTAAGGAAATGTCTAGTTTATGTCTAGAGGTAACCCTTTGAGCCTCTGGACATGTAATTATTCTCTTTTAAGTAGTCGCAAACAAATAAACAGGGATTATAGTTGAATAAAAAAGACCCTGCGTGATGGTGACATTTGATTGATATCAGACTGGTAATATTGGCAGATAACCCTAATACTCATTAGATTTTGATTCAAATGTCCAGTAACTGTGATTGGTGTGCAGAAAAACATGAAGTCAACATTCACAAACTGAGCCCAGCCCATGTGAATTGACCAAAACCTTTGGAGCAAATGGTGTGTGTATGTGAGATGCCATCACCAAAGACATTAATTGGATTATGTATTTTCATTGTCATTGTAATAGTGACGGCTACACAACAAACAGAAACATGATGTTATGCAAGGAAGCAGAAATGACCAAAAACATATAGAAAATGCACTTGTACATTCATCCGGTGTAGGTAAAATAAGACCTTTTCCCTCGAAAAGCCCATTTAAAAAAGCCAAAAACAAATAAGAATAAGTACACTATCAGAAGTTTAGTTGCAGGGTATCCAAAGTCAACTTTACAGGAGACTCTCGCTCCATCCTCCATTTTTTTTGTTTTGTTGGTATTATCTATTTTCCTCCCCCTCTAATGAAAAATATCTCAGCCACTTTTCTTCAACCCCATTCCTATCATGTATGGAATTTCCCTGCCTAGGTGAAACACAGCCCACTCCTGGGGTCCTGCGAGCTGTAGCTAATTAGCTGGCCTACTTTTCCTGAACATAGCAGCCTAATCTTCCTCTGTGGAAACTCTTCCCAACTGTCATCCCCCACCTAGGGCAGACCTTGATAACAGGGTGCTAGTCATTGTCATGACAGAACAAGGTAAACATCTTCGTCTAGTAAGTGATGGGCAGCAGCCGTAAGTGAATACTTAAGCTGTGACGAGCCAGTAGGGAGGGAATGAGAAGAAGGGAGGACAAGAGCTTCTCAAGTGTCTCTCCAACCTCCTTACCAGTGAGGACTTTGTCCCCCCTCCCTCCAGTCCTCCTCAGACGCAGAGCTACAGACATCATTAGCAAGGCTCTGGGACGGCTCTGTTTCCTTTGGTTTGTAAAGCCCTCCGTCCTGCACAACTGACCAAACTATCAAGACTGATAAGACTGGTTTGATATCTGGCGTGAGGAAAACCACTGTGTCAATCTTCAATACAATGGGCTCCGTTTATGGGAAGTCATTTGTTTTCATTACCCCTGCAGGACATTCGTAAAAAAGGCACAGTGGGTCTTGTAAACACCCAAATAACCCAAACAAACTGATTCATTTAAGCTACTAACATCATGAAATGATAGTCGTTTCCTTCTTTCTCATTAAAAACATTATTGCCAAGCATCCCCCAGACTTGTAGGGGAGAATACACTTTATAAAACAGGAAATATAGTGTAATCATGCATGCCATTATTAACCTGTTGAGTTCCTCACAAGATTTAACACATGTAATAAGCAATGTCCAATGCTGGTGTTTATTTAATGCAATAAATATGATTTTAGTGAGAGGAGAATGTGATTATATGGAAACAGGGTCTCATATCTGTTGGCATCTTTAGTATGATTGCTAGCACAATATGCTTGCATACTGTTTTTCCCTATATACTGTAGATGTGGTTGTCTTGGCATATTGTGTTTGATTGCATATGCCGGTTGCATTAGCCTGAACTGTAAATGAAGGAGGATATCCGTGAGGTGCTTACTCATTATGCAAGTTATTCCTGTTTAATATCACTGAGACATGTTCTTGTACAAGCTGCTGTCAATGCAGTATTCTTAGGTGTGAGCATGAAGTAAGAGTTGAATTAAAGCTCTTTCTGTGGTGATGGCATGTGATCAATAAGCCGTATTTAAGGATTGCTACACTATCCATTTGCTGAAATACTTGCAATTTATTTTCCATGATAGCACGTCGAAAATGTACCGCACTGGAAAAAACATGATACTGCAAGTTTCACAAAGGTAGCTCTCTCTATTAAAAGCAGGTTTGATTGTATTGAATTGCATCATGTATTAAATAATGGCATTACATTGCACACGTTCTTACTGTCCATCCTCTATATAAATAACTATTATTATATTATAAAGAATATGAACGGGAACTAACTTGGGCTGCAGCTCACCCAGTCATGGAGAAGTCAGACACAGTGATTGTATTTGTATGTACTTACAAACTGAGCCTACAGTACAACTCAGAGGTCTGTGATGGAAGAGTGGGAAGATAATACAGTGTGGTCTTCAGGAAAAAAACAAGACGTAAAAAGATCGATAACTCTCTTATTCCTTTGATTTTCGATTATCTAAACTCTAAACGTCTTCTTAAAAAGCATTACCAAGTACAACAGTTTAATGACACGTAATACGTTTTAACGACAGATCGTATGACCTATATTTTTTATGTGTGTGTGTATGGATAAAACTTTCATTTCATTGAGTATGAGTATAAACTCTTAAACACGACATAATAAAATACTTATTGCAGCTACAGCCCATTTTCAGGGAGTATCAATGTGTATAAATAGTTTAGAATAAAACTCAGCTTTTATCTGCTCTAAAAGGCTGTTTCTTTTTCGCCTGCCCAGAGTCATGATTAGACTCAAAATATCTACCCCATTACACTCTCAACTGTGCACTCACATTTGGAACAGAGCCCAGAATTAAAACTGCTCCTCTCAACACGTCTCTCTTCCGTATGAAACCTTTTCAATCTCCCTCTAACCCGCGTACACTGTAAACTTGCTGTAATCATGACTGGAAAAACAATGTCACCCCCCCATGTCCTTTAAAGTGTCTGCTTTGCACATCACCTCCAGTCAGGTGTTTGGAGGGGAAAGCATTAATCTCAATATTCAGATTTGGTAACCCTGTGGCCTGGGACAATTTGAACATCTGTTGTCCCCTGTTGCCAGAAACAGAAAACAGAAAATTGGT